ACTGACGGCTTGACGGACGTCCGTTGACGGCCAATGACGGCTAGACGGACGCCCGTTGACGGTCACTGACGGCTTGACGGACGTCCGTTGACGGCCAATGATGGCTAGACGGGCGCCCGTTGACGGTCACTGACGGCTTGACAGACGCCCGTTGAATGTCACTGACGGCTTGACGGACGCCCATTGACTGTCACTGACGGCTTGACAGACGCCCGTTGAATGTCACTGACGGCTTGACGGACGCCCGTTGACTGTCACTGACGGCTTGACAGACGCCCGTTGAATGTCACTGACGGCTTGACAGACGCCCGTTGAATGTCACTGACGGCTTGACGGACGCCCGTTGACTGTCACTGACAGCTTGACGGACGCCCGTTGACGGCCACGTACCGCTTGACGGGCGCCCGTTGACGGCTGCGGACTTCTTGACGGGCGCTCGTTGACGGCCACAGATGGCTTGACGGGCGCTCGTTGACGGCTTGATGGACACCCGTTGACGGCCGCAGTCGGCTTGACAGGCGCTCGTTCACGGCCACTGACGGCTTGACGGGCACCCGTTGACGGCCACTGACGGCTTGACGGGCGCCCGTTGACGGTCACAGACGGCTTGACGAACACCCGTTGACGGCCACTGACGGCTTGACGGGCGCCCGTTGACGGTCACAGACGGCTTGACGAACACCCGTTGACGGCCACTGACGGCTTGACGGGCGCCCGTTGACGGTCACAGACGGCTTGACGAACACCCGTTGACGGCCACTGACGGCTTGACGGGCGCCCGTTGACGGTCACAGACGGCTTGACGGGCGCCCGTTGACGGTCACAGACGGCTTGACGAACACCCGTTGACGGCCACAGACGGGAGTGGACCTCCGGGGGGAAACTGACAGGTGTTGATCAAAAGCAACCTAGCAAGAACTATGAGCGCATGTATTGGAAGTATGAGCGCATGGCAAAGTCTGCCAGGAGCATGTCAATGCTCATGTGCAGCCATGAGCATGGCAATGTCTGCCATGAGCATGTCAATGCTCATGTGCAGCCATGAGCATGTCAATGTCTCATGTACAGCCATGAGCATGTCAATGTCTCATGTACAGCCATGAGCATGTCAATGTCTCATGTGCAGCCATGAGCATGTCAATGTCTCATGTACAGCCATGTGCATGTCAATGTCTCATGTGCTGCCATGAGCATGTCAATGTCTCATGTGCAGCCATGAGCATGTCAATGTCTGGCCATGGCACCGAGGGCCTGGCACTGTCAGGACCAGCTTGCACCAAGAGAACACAGCACTAACTGCACAAAACGCCGCCCGGCAACTTTACCAATAAAGCTGTTTGACTAAATATGGCCCCAAACTCACCCGCGAGTCTTAATTTAATTAAATTAATTTAATAAATTAATAATTTAAATAATTTAATTCTTTACCAATAAAGCTGTTTGACTAAATATGGCCCCAAACTCACCCGCGAGTCTTAATTTAATTAAATTAATTTAATAAATTAATAATTTAAATAATTTAATTCATTAATGATTTTTTTCAAGCTTTTTACTTGAAAATTTTTGGGGGAAGAGAAATGAAAAGTGGGGGGGTGAAGAGGACAAGGAGCTGGGATATGAGGACAAGGAGCTGGGATATGAGGACAAGGAGCTGGGATATGAGGACAAGGAGCTGATATATGAGGACAAGGAGCTGGGATATGAGGACAAGGAGATGGGATATGAGGACAAGGAGCTGGGATATGAGGACAAGGAGATGGGATATGAGGACAAGGAGCTGGGATATGAGGACAAGGAGCTGGGATAGGAGGACAAACAGCTGAGATATGAGGCCAAGGAGCTGGGATATGAGGCCAAGGAGCTGGGATATGAGGACAAGGAGGTGGGATATGAAGACAAGAAGCTGGGATATGAGGACAAGGAGCTGGGATATGAGGACAAGGAGCTGAGATATGAGGACAAGGAGCTGGGATATGAGGACAAGGAGCTGGGATATGAGGACAAGGAGCTGGGGTATGAGGACAAGGAGCTGGGATATGAGAACAAGGAGATGGGATATGAGGACAAGGAGCTGGGATAGGAGGACAAACAGCTGGGATATGAGGCCAAGGAGCTGGGATATGAGGCCAAGGAGCTGGGATATGAGGACAAGGAGCAGGGATATGAGGACAAGGAGCTGGGATATGAGGACAAGGAGCTGGGATATGAGGACAAGGAGCTGGGATATGAGGACAAGGAGCTGGGGTATGAGGACAAGGAGCTGGGATATGAGAACAAGGAGATGGGATATGAGAACAAGGAGCTGGGATATGAGGACAAGGAGCTGGGATATGAGGACAAGGAGCTGGGGTATGAGGACAAGGAGCTGGGATATGAGGACAAGGAGCTGGGATATGAGGACAAGGAGCTGGGATATGAGGACAAGGAGCTGGGATATGAGGACAAGGAGCTGGGGTATTAGGACAAGGAGCTGGGATATGAGAACAAGGAGCTGAGATATGAGGACAAGGAGCTGAGATATGAGGACAAGAAGTTGGGATATGAGAACAAGGAGCTGAGATATGAGGACAAGGAGCTGAGATATGAGGGCAAGGAGCTGAGATATGAGGACAAGGAGCTGAGATATGAGGACAAGGAGCTGGGATATGAGGACAAGGAGCTGGGATATGAAGACAAGGAGCTGGGGTATGAGGACAAGGAGCTGGGATATGAGAAGAAGATGGGATATGAGGACAAGGAGCTGGGATATGAGGACAAGGAGATGGGATATGAGGACAAGGAGCTGGGATAGGAGGACAAACAGCTGGGATATGAGGCCAAGGAGCTGGGATATGAGGCCAAGGAGCTGGGATATGAGGACAAGGAGCTGGGATATGAGGACAAGGAGCTGGGATATGAGGACAAGGAGCTGGGATATGAGGACAATGAGCTGGGATATGAGGACAAGGAGCTGGGGTATGAGGACAAGGAGCTGGGATATGAGGACAAGGAGCTGAGATATGAGGACAAGGAGCTGGGATATGAGGAAAAGGAGCTGGTATATGAGGACAAGGAGGTGAGATATGAGGATAAGGAGCTGAGATATGAGGACAAGGAGCTAAGATTTGAGGACAATGAGCTCTGATATGAGGACAAGGAGCTGTGATGTGAGGACAAGGAGCTGGGATATGAGGACAAGGAGCTTGGGTATGAGGACAAGGAGCTGGAATATGAGGACTAGGAGCTGGGATATGAGGATAATGCTCTGAGATATGAGAACTAGGAGCTGGGATATGAGGACAATGAGCTGGGATATGAGGACAATGAGCTGGGATATGAAGACAATGAGCTGGGATATGAGAACAAGAAGCTGGGATATGAGGACGAGGAGCTGGGATGTGAGGACAAGGAGCTGGGATATGAGGACAAGGAGATGGGATATGAGGACAAGGAGCTGGGGTATGAGGACAAGGAGCTGGGATATAAGGACAAGGAGCTGGGATATGAGGACAAGGAGCTGAGATATGAGGACAAGGAGCTAAGATATGAGGACAAGGAGCTCTGATATGAGGACAAGGAGCTGGGATGTGAGGACAAGGGGCTGGTTTATGAGGACAAGGACCTGGGATATGAGGACAAGGAGCTGGGATATGAGGACAAGGAGCTGGGGAATGAGGACAAGGAGCTGGGATATGAGGACAAGGATCTGGGATATGAGGACAAGGAGCTGGGGAATGAGGACAAGGAACTGGGATATGAGGACAAGGAGCTGAGATATGAGGATAAGGACCTGGGATATGAGGAAAAGGAGCTGGTATATGAGGACAAGGAGCTGAGATATGAGGATAAGGAGCTGAGATATGAGGACAAGGAGCTGTGATGTGAGGACAAGGAGCTGGGATATGAGGACAAGGAGCTGGGGTATGAGGACAAGAAGCTGGAATATGAGGACAAGGAGCTGGGATATGAGGACAATGCTCTGAGATATGAGAACTAGGAGCGGGGATATGAGGACAATGATATGAGATATGACGACAAGGAGTTGAGATATGAGGACAATGAGCTGAGATATGAGGACAATGAGATGAGATATGAGGACAATGAGCTGGATATGAGGACAATGAGCTGAGATATGAGGACAATGAGCTGAGATATTACGAAAAGGAGCTGAGATATGATGACAAGAAGCTGAGATATAAGTATAATGAAATGAGATATGAGGACAATGAGCTGAGATATGAGGATTAGGAGCTGATATAAGAGAACAATGAGCTGAGATATGAGGACAACGAGCCAAGATATGACGACTAGGAGCTGAGGTATGAGGACAATGACCTGAGATATGAGGACACTGTGCTGAGATATGACGACAACGTCCTGATATATGAGGACAATGAGCTGGGATATGAGGACAATGAGCTGGGATATGAGGACAATGAGTGTCGGAAATTCCGACATTAAATTCCGAGAACCTGACATGGCCCAGTTAAAACGATTATGTCAGGTATTTACCAATAATACTAACATTACTAATTTTATCATAGAGCATGTACTTGGTCGCTGCCAGGGAAAACAGGAATTTGCCACGTCAGCAACACCGCTGTGGTACTTAAATTAATATTTCTCCTAATAATAATAATATAATACCTCCACTCTGAGAGTAGAAATACGAGAAAAGTATTCATTAAAAGTAGAGTTAATTAAAACCGTGCGAGTAAATAAGCCAGTTCCTCCCTAATTGAAATTTGATTCATAGAAAACTGGACGGGAGGGAACAGTGTCTTGGGGGACGCCAGCCAGTTGACGCTTGGCAGTCGTGGCGTACAGACGTGTTAGTTCTCATCAAACTAGACGCCATATTTATGAGGGCACAAATACAAAGAGCTTGGTCGAATGAACCACAGTTAAAGTTGGGTCCCTCAAAAACCCTATGTTTTGAATTACCAAAGTAGCCAAAATGGCATTGTAGAGAGAGAGAGAGAGAGACCGGTGAAGCTGTGGAGGACAACCCCAGGACTTACTTCTCAGCGAAGGGCCGTCGATTGAGGCGTTGATCTGTTCCCGTCTCGTCTGATTTCTCTCCTTCTGGCTGCTGCTGTTGCTGTGCCTGCTGTGTCTGCTGCTGTGTCTGCTGCTGCTGCTCTGGTGGTGGTGGAGGCTGCTCTTGCACCTCCTTCACCGGCTGGGGCTGCTGAGAGCCGTATTTAATCTTGTCGTCCTCATCGTCCAGGAGGTACTCCTCGTCCTCCTCCTCCTCGTCGTAGTAGTCGTCCTCCTCGTCCTCCTCGTCGTCGTCGTCGTCGTCGTCATCGTCGTCGTCGTCGTAGTCGTCCAGGGCGTCCCAGGACTTGGGCAGGTCGACGTAGGAGATGGAGGCGGCGTCCTTCATCGGCACGATCTTGTCCCTGTCGAGAGAGACAGACAGAACTGATCAGTAAGAGAGAGACAGACAGAACTGATCAGTAATGTCAAAATAAATTTAATTTGTATTATTAATAATTGTAAATTGTTGTTATAAAATTGGTGATTTTTTTAATTAAATATGTGAGGTTAGCAAGGCTCTCGGACCAGCCTCTCTGAGTCCCTACAGCTATGCAACACTGACACAGATGTATTTGCATTGGCCACACCCACCAGCCAGGTGTGGGGCCACACCCACCTGCCAGGTGTGGGCCTCACCCACCAGCCAGGTGTGGGCCACACCCACCAGCCAGGTGTGGGCCACACCCACCAGCTAGGTGTGGCCCACACCCACCAGCCAGGTGTGGCCCACACCCACCAGCCAGGTGTGGGCCACACCCACCAGCCAGGTGTGGGCCACACCCACCAGCCAGGTGTGGGCCTCACCCACCAGCCAGGTGTGGGCCACAACTTTCAGGTCTTTGTGAATTTGTTAGGTCGGTGAGATTTTCATTAGATATTTGTTTAAGTATTCTCTTTGTCACTGCTAATGAAACACCCATATCAATTTCTACCACTGGTTTTCTGCAGGCTGACTTAGCAAGCATATCAACAGTGTCATGCCTTGAGATGCCAACATGTGATGGTATCCATAGGAATTTAATCTCAAATCTGGATTTATTCTCAAAAGTTGTAGCATTAAATATTATGATAGATATCGTGAGGAGACATTCACATATGGGACTAATAGAATAAGAACCCGGCAATGTGATGTTATAGTGGCCAGAATACGCCTGGGATATAGACGTATCTGGCAGCTTTCTCAAAACCCAAATGTCGAGTACACAATGTGTCAACTTTGTGAAAGAGAAAACATGCACTCTCTTGAACATTATATTGTAGAATGTCCCATACTGACTGACTTTCGCCCTCCTGGGCTAAGGTATGCTGAACTGTGTAATTACTATATGAGTACTGGAACACTTGATGATATATTGGACTTGTATCCAAGATTGGCCATGTAATATATCAATTATATAATGTATATATATGATGTAACTATATAACCTGAGCTTGAAAAAGCACCTTCATCACCTTCAGTGATTGAGTGCTTAATTGCACACTAGTTTCTTTATCAGCTATCTCACCCTGTCAGAGTAAATGAGACAAATGTATGTGAATGCATGTGTGTGTATATATGTATGTATATGTGTGTGTGTGTATGTATATGTATGGGTATAAAGTATATATGGAAGCTGATCAGAATTACATTTCACCTTTGTGAATGTACATTAATGACACTATGTAAGACACATCGAACACTTTATGTAGGGCATACGTAAATCTGTGTATCTATGTATTTACGTATGTAGGTTAACTTAGCATTTTAAAAGCACCGAATCACCTTCTGTGGTTGATTGTTCAATAAACCCTTGAACTATATGTTTAACACATCTCTAACCCTGTCCATGGAGGACAGAAGAAAATGTATATATGCTGGTTAGCATTGTAAATGTCTGGCCACGTCTGTGGAAGAAAATAATAATAATAATAATAAAAAAAGGTGTGGCCACACCCACCAGCCAGGTGTGGCCACACCCACCAGCCAGGTGTGGGCCACACCCACCAGCCAGGTGTGGCCACACCCACCAGCCAGGTGTGGCCACACCCACCAGCCAGGTGTGGGCCACACCCACCAGACAGGTGTGGGCCACACCCACCAGCAGGTGTGGCCACACCCACCAGCTAGGTGTGGCCACACCCACCAGCCAGGTGTGGGCCACACCCACCAGCCAGGTGTGGGCCACACCCACCAGCCAGGTGTGGCCACACCCACCAGCCAGGTGTGGCCACACCCACCAGCCAGGTGTGGGCCACACCCACCAGCCAAGTGTGGCCACACCCACCAGCCAGGTGTGGCCACACCCACCAGCCAGGTGTGGCCACACCCACCAGCCAGGTGTGGGCCACACCCACCAGCCAGGTGTGGCCACACCCACCAGCCAGGTGTGGGCCACACCCACCAGCCAGGTGTGGCCACACCCACCAGCCAGGTGTGGCCACACCCACCAGCTAGGTGTGGGCCACACCCACCAGCCAGGTGTGGGCCACACCCACCAGCCAGGTGTGGGCCACACCCACCAGCCAGGTGTGGACCACACCCACCAGCCAGGTGTGGCCACACCCACCAGCCAGGTGTGGCCCACACCCACCAGCCAGGTGTGGCCACACCCACCAGACAGGTGTGGGCCACACCCACCAGCAGGTGTGGCCACACCCACCAGCTAGGTGTGGCCACACCCACCAGCCAGGTGTGGGCCACACCCACCAGCCAGGTGTGGGCCACACCCACCAGCCAGGTGTGGGCCACACCCACCAGCCAGGTGTGGACCACACCCACCAGCCAGGTGTGGGCCACACCCACCAGCCAGGTGTGGGCCACACCCACTAGCCAGGTGTGGCCACACCCACCAGCCAGGTGTGGCCACACCCACCAGGTGACATTACCTATGATGCCTCTCCTCCAAGATCTCATCTCCGTTCCTAATCAAATTTTACGCCATTAACTAGCCTCTCCCCATCCTCCTCTCCCTTCTCTCCCCTTCTCTCCCTCCTCTCCCTCCTCTCCCTTCTCTTCTTCTCTCTCCTTGTGTGTCCTCAATCCTCGCAGCCTCCCTGGTATCTTTCCCACTACTTTTAATCCTCCTTTATGTTTAATCATGCTCGTCTTGAAGATATTCCTGTTCCATCGTATCATTATGTGATGGTCTATGGCAAGAACCCTGATAGTTCCCCTTCCAGGGTGATGTAGTCTCTCTCTCTGTCTGTCTGTCTGTCTGTCTCTCTCTCTCTCTCTCTCTCTCTCTCTCTCTCTCTCTCTCTCTCTGTCTGTCTGTCTGTCTGTCTGTCTGTCTGTCTCTCTCTCTCTCTCTCTCTCTCTCTCTCTCTCTCTCTCTCTCTCTCTCTCTCTCTCTCTCTCTCTCTCTCTCTCTCTCTCTCTCTCTCTCTAAATTTCACCTTCTCTTTCCTGTCCCGGATCCATCTTCCAAGAAGGCTTATTGGACCATACGAGGCAGCTACTTTTTATAGCTACTCGACGCATTCATATATATGTCTAGCCTACACTTGAAACAATCCATTATGTTACTCAGTAATGGTGTTCCATAAATCAACGAGTGTTTCCCGACCAGTATTTACCCAGGAAGTTTTTTTGGTCTTTTATCCTAATGTTATCTACTTTGTATCATTTGTTTTGTGTATTATGTATATATATATATATATATATATATATATATATATATATATATATATATATATATATATATATATATATATATATATATATATATATATATATATATATATATATATATATATATATATATATATATATATGTATATATATATTTTTTTTTTTTTTTTTATATAGGGAAGGGAGAATACCTCTATACCTCTGGCTGGAAGAAGGGGGACCCATAGCCTCGGAGGAAACCACACATAACGCATTGGAGGGAATGTGGGTCCCCTCCAATACAGTTTCTGTGTGCTTTTCTCCTACCACCCCCTTCCCTTTTTTTTTTCCTTTATTGTGTATTTAAAGGTTACAAAACATACAAGACAACTGCCTAAAGGTTATGGATCTCTTGAAGCTCCTCCGCTTCTGGACAGGAACCGAGGACGCAGCAAGCATTTCCCCTCTGGATCGCCACACTGAGATATATATATATATATATATATATATATATATATATATATATATATATATATATATATATATATATATATATATATATTTTATTAAATATGACCGAAAAAGTAAGATTAATAATTCTAACACGAATTTTCTCAATCTTTCGTACATTATGCTTCACTGTTGGAGGTAAATCAAAAATCACTTCTCCAAAATTCATTTTTATTTCTAGTCTGACGCGACACGGGCGCGTTTCGTAAAACTTATTACATTTTCAAAGACTTCACAAATACACAATGAATAGAACTTGCGTTTCCCTGATTTTATATCTACATTTGAGTGAGGTGGGAAGGGTGATGTGGCATTACATTTGAGTAAGGTGGGAAGGATGATGTGGCATTAGAGGATATTAATAGGGTATTAAAAGTATCAACACAAGACAGAACACGAAACAATGGATATTGAATAGAAGTGTTTGTAGAAAGCCTATTGGTCCATATTTCTTGATGCTTCTATATTGGAGCGGAGTCTTGAGGTGGGTAGAATATAGTTGTGCAATAATTGGCTGTTGATTGCTGGTGTTGACTTCTTGATGTGTAGTGCCTCGCAAACGTCTAGCCGCCTGCTATCGCTGTATCTATCGATGATTTCTGTGTTGTTTACTAGGATTTCTCTGGCGATGGTTTGGTTATGGGAAGAGATTATATGTTCCTTAATGGAGCCCTGTTGTTTATGCATCGTTAAACGCCTAGAAAGAGATGTTGTTGTCTTGCCTATATACTGGGTTTTTTGGAGCTTACAGTCCCCAAGTGGGCATTTGAAGGCATAGACGACGTTAGTCTCTTTTAAAGCGTTCTGTTTCGTGTCTGGAGAGTTTCTCATGAGTAGGCTGGCCGTTTTTCTGGTTTTATAGTAAATCGTCAGTTGTATCCTCTGATTTTTGTCTGTAGGGATAACGTTTCTATTAACAATATCTTTCAGGACCCTTTCCTCTGTTTTATGAGCTGTGGAAAAGAAGTTCCTGTAAAATAGTCTAATAGGGGGTATAGGTGTTGTGTTAGTTGTCTCTTCGGAGGTTGCATGGCTTTTCACTTTCCTTCTAATGATGTCTTCGATGAAACCATTGGAGAAGCCGTTATTGACTAGAACCTGCCTTACCCTACAGAGTTCTTCGTCGACTTGCTTCCATTCTGAGCTGTGGCTGAGAGCACGGTCGACGTATGCGTTAACAACACTCCTCTTGTACCTGTCAGGGCAGTCGCTGTTGGCATTTAGGCACATTCCTATGTTTGTTTCCTTTGTGTAGACTGCAGTGTGGAAAC